TTGCAGTGGCCCGAGATCTTGTCACTGCACTCCAGCCTCGGCGATAGAGCAAGACTCCGTCTCAAAAAAAAAAAAAAAAAAAAAGGTAAAGTACATGTTCAGATCTGAGACAGGACCAGGGCTGTGCTATTAGGATTGGTAAAGAGGGAGTGGAGGCCAGATGCGGTAGCTCACGCCTGTAACCGCAGCACTTTGGGAGGCTGAAACAGGAGGATCACTTGAGCCCACGAATTTGAGACCAGCTTGGGCAGCATAGTGAGACCCCATCTCTAAAAAACTGGGAAGGAGTAGAAATCTTTCAAAGGGTTAAGAGGAGTTAGGGGCTGGGCGTGGTAGCTCAAGCCTGTAATCCCAGCACTTTGGGAGGCCGAGGCGGGCGGATCACGAGGTCAGGAGTTTGAGACCAGCCCGGCCAATATGGTGAAACCCTGTCTCTACTAAAAACACAAAAATAGCCGGGCGTGGTGGCAGGTGCCTGTAATCCCAGCTACTCGGGAGGCTGAGGCAGGAGAATTGCTTGAACCTGGGAGGCGGAGGTTGTACTGAGCCAGAGATCGCGCCATTGCACTCCAACCTGGGTGACAGAGTGAGACTCTGACTCAAAAAAAAAGAAAAAAAAAGAGGAGTTAGGGACTCTTTTGGCATGGCGTGGGGGAAGGAGAGCTCCTCTGAGACATCAGCCCAGGCTGAGAGCTGAGGGCAGCAGGGCAGGCTGGGGGAACTTGAGGTGCCTTTGGGATACCCCAGGATGTGTGACCAGAGACAGCAGTGTGGGCCTGGCACTCAGGATCCTGAGCAGACTGCAGACACCAGTTAAGTCACATTCACAGTGTGGACCCCCTTGGCTCAGCTGTTTCCTGAGTCTGGTCGAAGTGATTTAAGCAGAGTCATCTCGTGGTTGTGTCCTCTCCCCCTTTCCCTGCGCATGTAGCTTTCCCCAGGCTGGAGTGCGGTGGGGAAAGCCACAGGGAGTGTCACTACACACGTAAGTTAGTCTTCTGGAATTTCTTCAGCTGTGGTCACTGCTAAAAAAAGAAGTATGACGCTGGACAACAGGAGTCCAGTGGGACTTCGTTTAACATGTTTGCTCAAGTTATCAGCTCTTTGCAAGTGACGGACAGACTCCACCTCCTTTGTAACCTCAAAGCATGTTCACAGACTATCTCCTAGTTCTTAGGGATTTCTTCTGTCTAAAAGAGTTCTCAAAAATAACAGCAATCTCAAATACCATCTGTTAAATCCCTAAGCAATTTCACATGCATCTTATGAGACCCTGCTGATTAAAAACTTTTTTTTTTTTTTTGAGACGAAGTCTCGCTCTGTCACCCAACCTGGAGTGCAATGGTGCAATCTCGGCTCACTGCAACCTCCGCCTTTCTGGTTTGGGCAATTCTCCTGCCTCAGCCCCCTGAGTAGATGGTACTACAGGCGCACGCCACCACACCCGGCTAATTTTTTGTATTTTTAGTAAAGATGGTGTTTCACTGTGTTAACCAGGATGGTCTCGATTTCCTGACCTCGTGATCTGCCCACCTCAGCCTCCCAAAGTGCTGGGATTACAGACATGAGCCACCATGCCTGGCTAGATTTCATGGTTTTTTTTTTTGAGATGGAGTCTCTCTCTGTCACCTAGGCTGGAGTGCAATGGGGTGATCTTTGCTCACTTCAACCTCCACCACCCGGGTTCAAGTGATTCTCCTGCCTCAGCCTCCTTAGTAGCTGGGATTACAGGCATGTGCCACCACACCTGGCTAATTTTTGTATTTTCAGTAGAGATGGGGTTTCACCATATTGGCCAGGCTGGTCTTGAACTGCTGACCTCAGGTGATCTGCATGCCTTGGCCTCCCAAAGTGCTGGGATTACAGACGAGACCCACCACCCAGCCAAGATCTAGATTTTTAGAATCTCTCTGGTCCCTTCCTGCCCCATCTTTGTCTTTCTGCCCTCCCCTCCAGTGGTGGCATCTCCTCCTAGGGCCTCTGTGCAGGAGGAGTGAGTTATTCGCTCACTAATCACGCCATACTAAACCCTCAACTCACTCCAGGACTGTTCTCCCAGCCCAGCGGGTAGCCTTTGCTATGGGTTGGCGGAAAGAACCTGGGCCTGGAACTCCCTGGTCCCACCCGAGTCTGGCCACTCTCTCTGGCTGTAAAGGTGGAGTTTAGAGGAGGGGCACTCCAGGCTCTTTAGGAGATGCCTCTGGATAGAACCAGAGAGGGAGAATGGGAGCCCATTTAACTAAAGCCAAAAATAGATGTTTTTCGTTGTATTCCCTTGCTAACTGGTTTTTTTTTTTTTTAGTTTAGGAGCAGATGTTTAATAGGCAAAGGACAGAGGAGAACAGCTCTCTCTCAGAAACAGGGGTGCCCAAATGGGAATTCCCGCTGACTATTAATTTGATGAGAAATAGCAAACAACAGAGGACCACTCTTTTTTTTTTTTTTTTTTTTTTTTTTGAGGCGGAGTCTCGCTCTGTCGCCCAGGCTGGAGTGCAGTGGCGCGATCTCGGCTCACTGCAAGCTCCACCTCCCGGGTTCACGCCATTCTCCCGCCTCAGCCTCCGAGTAGCTGGGACTACAGGCGCCCGCCACCACGCCCGGCTAGTTTTTTTTTTGTATTTTTAGTAGAGACGGGGTTTCACCATGTTAGCCAGGATGGTCTCGATCTCCTGACCTCGTGATCCACCCGCCTCGGCCTCCCAAAGTGCTGGGATTACAGGCTTGAGCCACCGCGCCCGGCCCAGAGGACCACTCTTACCTGCCCTCCTGCCTACTTTCTGCACTGTTTATAGGAGTCCACCTCCTCCTCCTCATGCGTCCTGTTTGCTTCCTTCAAGCCTCTGGCTGCCCAGTGGTGTTCTGACACTTGCTGTACCGTCACTGCAGTGTCCAGCCTGGAGTCCCTGGCACTGTGGTGCTGCTGGGTGGGCTCAGAGATTGTCCACTCGGAAGGGATCACAGAGGAAAGCCAGGCGCGGTGGCTCAGGCCTGTAATCCCAGCACTTTGGGAGGCCAAGGCGGGTGGATCACATGAGGCCAGGAGTTCGAGGCCAGCCTGGCCAACATGGTGAAACCCCTGTCTCTGCTAAAAATACAAAAACTAGCTGCAGATGGCTGGAGGCCAGCACAGGATCTGGTGAAGGAGAGCTCCGACGAGCACGTGACGGAGCATGGTCCCGGCGGGTCTAGCCCAGGGTAGTGTGGGGGCAGTTGAACTTAGGCGACTCACGGAAGACCCCCATGTGCCCAGGTGGAGCAGGGTAGCTAAGTAACTGGACGCTGGGGCTGGAAGCTCAGAGGCATCCAAGCACATCGTATGACTTACCCGTGGTGTGGCCTAGGACAAGCTGCAAACTGTCTCTGAGCCGAGGCTGCCTCTCTGCCAGCTGTGATCATTACACTGTGATTGTTTCTACAGGGAGGCACCGGTAAATGGCGGGAATTCAGGTCACCATGAGGTGCACTCACGTTGGTCTCAGACCAGATAGGGACATTAGTGGGTACAAATGGCCCTTGATGCTCAATTTTGTTGTCAGTTAAAAGAACCCTCTCAGCCAGTTTTTAATTCCCACTGAGCAACTGAGATGGGTAAAGAAAACGACAGTGGCTCGCACCGGTAACCTCAGCTCTTTGGGAGGCCAGGGTGGGAGGGCTGGCTGTGCTCAGGAGTTCAAGACAGCCTGGGCAACATAGTGAGACCTCCTCTCTACAAACAATAAAAATAAAAAATTAGCCAGGTGCAGTGGCACACACCTGGAGCCCCAGCTACTTAGAAGACTAGGGTGGGAAGATCGCTTGAGCCCAGGAGTTCAAGGTCGCAGTGAGCTATGATGGCACCACTGCCCTCCAGCCTGGGCAACAGAGTGAGACCTGTATCTAAAAAAGAAAGAATAGAGAAAAAAAGAAAAAGAAAACAAGTGCCATCAGCTGGGAGTGGGCAAAGCAGACAGACCCCCAGCTCCCAGCATCCTCCACTGCAGGTGACCTCAACACAGGTCAGAGCAGGCAAATGGGGGCTGGGAGATTCAACAGAAAGCTGTGTGGCAAGACCAAGAAAGCAGGTGTGGCAGCTGGCGTGGGAGAGACAGGTCAGGAGTACAGTCGCATCATTTAATGAGCTTTTATTGCACATGTCTGTTCAAGCACCAAGCTCAGGCTGGAAACCATCCAAAGCGCAATCCCTGACCTCAGGGAGCTCACAGTCCAGTGGGGAAGCCGAGAAGCAAATTAACGACTCTGAAGAAGCGCAGGCAAGTGCTATGATCAAGGCAGGTGTGCGGGTGGGGTGTCTGGGAACCCCAAAGTCAGCCTCAGGTGGGGAGGCGAGTCAAGGAAGGACCGGGAGACCAGGTTCAGCCTGGGTCTCAGAGGAGAGTGGGGCCAGCCCGGGGAATGGTGGAGTCACCCTGCCGGGCACTGCTGGCCAGGCCCAGGCAATGAGAGCACAGCTTGTTCAGGGTCCAGGAAGCAACCCCAGGAGAACGAAGCCTCGTGGGGAGGGAGGAACCTGGAGGGTGGAAGGAGTCTGGGCTTTTCCTGAAGGTGATGAGAGCCACTGAAGGATTCTGGCCAGAGGAGACATAGGGTTATCCTGTCATGGGGGAGAGAGCTTTGAAAGGCAGGGAGGTGGGAGGCAGCGGGGACTCTCAGAAGCAAAGTCTCAGATCTCCTTAAGAGGTGAAGGCGGCCGGACACGGTGGCTCACACCTGTAATCCCAGCACTTTGGGAGGCCGAGGCGGGTGGATTACAAGGTCAGGAGATTGAGACCATCCTGGCTAACATGGTGAAACTCTGTCTCTACTAAAAATACAAAAAATTAGCTGGGTGTGGTGGTGCCCGCCTGTAGTCCCAGCTACTCGGGCGGCTGAGGCAGGAGAATGGCGTGAACCTGGGAGGCGGAGCTTGCAGTGAGCCGAGATCGCGCCACTGCACTCCAGCCTGGGTGACACAGCGCGAGACTCCGTCTCAAAAAAAAAAAAAAAAAGGCGGAGGTTGCAGTGAGCTGAGATCGCTCCACCACACTCTAGCCTGGGCAACAGAGCAAGACTCCATCTCAAAATAAAAAAAAAAAAAAGAGGTGACGGCACAGGACAGGGGCTGGGATGTTGCCAGCTCACTTGTGCCTCATGCTCCCTGTTTCACAGACGTGGGAGGCAAAGGAGTCAAGGCCAGCTACACAGGGAGGCTGCCCAGGCCCCCTGGCTTCTGGCTCCTGCAGGCACCTGCCCAGCCCAGATCTGCTCGGGTGGGAGGTGCCTTGGTTAGGAAGGGCTGAGCCTCTTGCACTGATTTGCAAGCTGCAGATTTTCAACCTGGCCTCCAATCTCAAACTGGCTTCCGGGCCGTGGGCCTGATGGGGAGCCATTGGCATTGCCGCAGGGCTCATCCCCACCAGCGGAGGAGATATTCGTAGCTGAGGAAGGTGACAGCATTGACGGGAAAGGCGCGGGCACTGTTGATGGTGACCCCCCGGAAGAAGACCCCCAGTCCTTCCTGCCGGACGCTGCTCACCATGCAGTCCAGCACCCCCTGGTATACTCTGCGTCTCAGCCCGTCCATCTGCATCCGGGACTTGATCACGTCTAAGGGCGTGGCTGCCACCCAGGAAGCAATGCCTGCAAAGCCCCCTGCCACCAGCACTGTGGCTGAACCTGGGGCAGAGGGAGCCCAGAGCAGGGGTCAGACCAAGAACACAGCATCCTCCCCAGACCCTAATCTCCTTCCCCAGTCCCCGCTGGCCTCTGCCTGCTACACACACCTCTGTCCCCCGTCCTCTCACACCACTTTACTTACTGGGATTCTGGCCTTCTGGTGTGTACTGGTGACAGAGCCCTTCATAGGTGATGAAGTAGATCCCCATCGTGGGGGTGTCCCTCAGCATCAGGGCCCAGGCTCCTCGGAACAGCCCCCGGTACCCCTCCTCCCGGAAGATGGAGGCTGCACAGTGCACGGGCCCCTGGTACTGGGGTGGGGGGCTACCCGGCTGGGCCACTGGCTCTGTCTGGTTTTGTAGCCGGACTTTGATGAGGTCAAAAGGAGCCAGACAGTAGGCCTGTTGGGGACGAAACATGAAGGCCCCAGGTGGGGCTTTGGCTGGGAACTGGCCCCTTACATTCACAAGAGGAAGGATGCAGGCAGACGACCGCATCATCCGGTTCCTCAGGAACCCTGCCAGTGCCCAGCCTCTCACGTGCACGTGTGGCTGGGATGGCCAGGATGTCTGCATGCGATGGGGACAGGCCACCTCCCTTGGCATCAGGCCCAAGAGCGAGAGGCACTGCCCCCTCCTCATGCAACAGTGTCCCACTTGCCTGGCCTGCACCAGGCACTCAGAACAAGCCCGGATTCTTTTTGCAGGAGCAGGTTGGTTTCTGGCCTCCCTAAAGCTGGCAGTGAGCATACCTGCACAGTGAGCAGGGGCAAGTGAAGGATTCAGCCTGTGACTGTGAAATAGCAAAGAGGCCACCCTCTCCCAGGGTGAAGGAGGTCCCCTCGCGAGTGTTGTTCTCCTGCACCCACTTCTCAGAGGCCCGGGGGGCATGGGGGCCAGCCCTTCCTGCCTCTGGAGAGGCAAGACTCCCTCCCATTAGCATTCCACCAAAGAGGCTTCTGAGTGTGGGAAGGTGGGTAATGGGGGGACTTGGCAGGTGCTAGAGCTCTTAGCATCGGCGGAAGCAGACACTACACAGATTTGGGATGGAATTGGGGCTGGGGTCCTGGTAAGGGTCAGTGCTGGGGGGATGTAGAGAGTGATGGCGGCAGTTAAGGTTTGGGTCAGAGATGCCACTAGGTCAAGATGGCTTTCGGAGTCCAGGTGAGAGTCAGAGTCCATGTTGAGGCTAGCCTATCTAGGAGGGACTTAGGTGTTTTTCGCTCGTTTGTTTTGTGACAGGTTCATGGGCTCAGTTCCTCAGCCCTGGCGATGGCTGATGGCGACGGGGACTGGCGGTCACCTCCGGTGCTGGTCCTTAGGGTTTGGCAGGCCAAGTCTTGTTTACTTTGGCCCTGGCAGGAAGGGTCATAGGTTGGGGACCATCCCTTGGGAGATGGGGCCTTGTGCCACCCTCCAGAGCGTGCTGGCAGGGCTGAGCTCAGGGCTTCGGGGGGTGTTCTGAGCCCTGAGCTCCTGGGGGCTGAGGACAGGGCGAGGCTGATGACAGGTGACAGTCCCACAGGGTGGTGGAATGTCAGATGCTATTTCAGAAGGTTAGCTTTGGCCAAGCCCAGGGCAACATCTGTGCCTGTCAGAGGCTGCCAATCCCTGCCTCTTCTTCCACTCCACACTAAAACACATTTTTCTTCTAAGACTCTGGTAAACGGAAGCCACAGGTTTGACTGTAAACCCAGGCTCCATCAGCAGCCCTCACAGTCCCCACTTCTGCTTTCCAAAGAGCTGGAGGGGGCAGGGTGACTTAGAAGCTGGGCCTGGCCACTTAGCTGAGGGCCTCGGTTCTCTTCCTTGTGTTTGTGGGATGTGGCTCGTGGGACTCAGGAAACCTATAGGTGACACCTCGCACAAGAAGGGGCAGAAGAAAAGCCAGGGCCTCCGGGGGTCTCATTAATCATTAATTCATTTGAAGGAGCAGCCTGACTTTGTCCTTTGTCCTTGCTCTCTGCCCCATGAAGTGTGACAGGGAACTGGGGGCAGCCGCCCAGGAGAGGGCAACCCTGGCTCGCGGTGGGGCTGTGAGTGGGTACCGGGCGCACCCTGTGCCTGCTTGTGTTCACAGGCACCTGTCAGTACCAGCTCCCACTGGCGGCAGCTGGTCCCTCTTCCCTTCATCTGCCCCTCTAAAGCCTAAAGCCCAAATGACGGCAGTGACTTAATGGCTAATGCCCTGCTGGGCCGGGGCCTCAGGTGAGGCTCCCAGGTCATGGCCACGCAAGCGCTGCAGGCAAAGGGTAGAGCCAACGGGACCGGGGGAGTGTCAGGACCTCATCAGGACCTGGCCAGAGGGTCTGGGCTCACAGCTCTGCGGGGGGCTGGCAGTTCTCCAGGGTCAAAGGTCTCCTTGGGGAGTGGGGTCCCCACAGCCCTGAGTCTGGCAGACCCCTCTGGAGGAGGGCAAGCCCTGTCAGCTGGAGCGAGTGGCCCAGGCTGCTTCTCCCAGCACCCTCTTGGTAGTGCCCGCCAGCTCTGTCTGCCTTTTGCCTCTTCCGTTCCCCACAGCGCTCCCCCAAAGGCCTGCAGCCTGGAAAGCCACAGCACAGGCCTCTTGTTCCCCTCCAGGAGGCCTGTGCCTCCATAGCTGTGGGTCACCAGAGCAGGGCGGAAGAGGACAGATCGACATGACCATCCCTATGACACTCGTGTGTGCCCACCCACTGCCCCCTCACCTGCAGGAACCCCCCGGTGCAGCCCGCTAGGAAAATGTGCATGTAGCTGGGTGGCTGGGCCCGCCGCTCCTGGTGGGAGGTGGCCGTGAGCAGCAGCAGGGTGTTGCTATAGACCCCAAACAGGACAGAGTTGACCACAGCTATGCTGGCAATGGGGAAGCTCATTCCCTTGAAGAAGCCCAGGAGCTGCAGGGAGACACAGTGGCACTGGAGTAGGCACCGTGGGGCCTCCCCTTTGTCCTCTCCAGCCCTGGAAAGGCAGCCTCTGGCTGGAAACTGCTCCCAAGTCCTGCCACAGGGAGGTGGGGACAGGTGGGGACAGGCTGAGGCTGAGCCATTGGGGTGCCAGGCTACCACCCAGGCCCCCCAAGGATCCCAGACATGGTCTTCTCTCCTCCAGGGGCAGAACCCTGCTGGAGCGGGAAGCTGGCACCAATGGCCCCAGATGCCTCCCCCAAAGGAGTGGTTCACTCACGGACTCATGGCGGTAAATCTTGACCATGCAGTCAACGATGCCCCGGTAGGTGGTCTGGGTCTGCAGGCGCACCTGGGTGGGAGAACAGGGCAGGTGGGGTGGCGGGATGGGCAGGTGGGCCGACCTTTCCCTCTGCCCCCTCAAGCAGGATGCCAGCCAGCAGGAGAGGCAGAAAAGGCAAGATTAGCCAGGCCTGATCTCAGGGCACCCTGACGTTTGGGTTAGGTGCGATCTTTCATTCCTCTGGTGCCTCTCCTAAACTCACCTTTACAGTGTCAAAGGGGTGTCCCAGGACCAAGCCCAGAGCTCCTGTGGTGACAAGAAGGTGCTATGAGTGAGGGCCCTCGTGCCAGGCCCAGGAAGCAAGTCTGTGCCAAGAGGAAAGAGGGGTTCAGGCAGGAGGAAGGAGAGCAGAACCATCTCAGACATGTGCAGCCACCTTCCTGCCAAGCTCCAGAGACTCCAGCTGCCCCGACACCCCCTCCACGCAGGCACTGGGCCAGGAAGGCACTGGGACAAGGGAGTAAGACCCCAGGTCCCACTGAGGATGCACACCCAGGAGGGAAGAGCCAGCCAAAGATGCATGTGTCCTCTCTGGAGCCCATACCCAGGTATCCCACTGCCAATGAGATGTGGGACTCTGGGCGAATCACCCAGGTTCCTGCCTCTCCGAGAGCTTTACTCTTTTTTTCTTCAACTCATAATGTTGTCGCCAGGATCCAGAGCAGGCCCTGCTGCCAGCTGGCCACGCAGAACTGCAGGGCCCTGATGGGGGTCATGCTTGGGCACCTGCGGAGGAGCTTCTCCCCTCCCGTCCACCTGCCCACTGCTAGCCCTAGCCCTCCACAGCGGAGGCTGGTTCTGGAGCTTAGGGGAGGTCGCACTCCCAGGAGGCAGGTTCAGAACGTCCCTCTCTTTCTCCTAAGAGGAATGCCACCCGGAAGCTGGGCTGGGACCACAGCACAACAGGCCTCAGGGCCCCGGACTGCGGCCCACAGCCAGGTAGGGCAGAGGCCCAGAGGGAGCTCAGGACAGCAGGTGAGGCCAAAGGAGAGCTTCCTTTGTGAGCTCCACAGGGTGGGTCTGGAGAGCAGGGCTCAAGGTATAGGTGCTCACCTGGCTCTCCCGCCCTCTGCAGGTGTCAGGCAGAGTGACCTTGGAAGGCAGAGGTAGCACCTCCCACCTGCACCTTCTCTTCTCCCCATCGGCCAATCCCCGGTGGACTGGGGACAGCTGGCTCTGGGGCGCTCCAGGGAACCCAGACTTTTTGTTTTTTTAAAGACAGGGTCTTGCTCTGTTATCCAGGCTGGAGTGCAGTGGCATGATCATGGCTCATCGCAGCTTCAACCTCCTGGGCTCAAGGGCTCCTCCCACCTCAGCCTCTGGAGTAGTTGGGACCACAGGCATGCGCCACCAAGCCTGGCTAATTTTTTTCTTATTTCTTTTTTTTTTCTTTGAGATGGAGTCTCGCTCTGTTGCCCAGGCTAGAGTGCAGTGGTGTGATCTCAGCTCACTGCAAACCTCTACCTCCCGGGTTCAAGCGATTCTCCTGCCTCAGCCTCCCAAGTAGGTGGGATTACAGGTGCCCACTACTGCACCTGGCTATAATTTTTGTATTTTTAGTAGAGTTGGGGGTTTCACCATGTTGGCCAGGCTGGTCTCGAACTCCTGACCTCATGATCCACCCACCTCGGCCTCCCAAAGTGCTGGGATTACAGGCATGAGCCACAGGGCCCAGCCTCTAATTTCTTAGAGAGACAGGGTCTTCCTATGTTGCCCAGGCTGTTCTCAAACTCCTGACCCCAAGTGATCCTCCTGCCTCAGCCTCCCAAAGTGCTGGGATTACAGATGTGAGTCACCATGCCCTGCCTTTTTTTTTTTTTTTTTTTTTTTTTTGTGGCAGGGTCTCATTCTGTCACCCAGGCTGGAGTACAGTGGTGCAGTCATAGCTCACTGCAGCCTTGAACTCCTGAGCTCAAGCAATCCTCCTGAGTAGCTGGGACTACACCATGCTCAGCTAATTTGTTTTTTGATTTTTTGTAGAGACAGGGGCCTCCCTATGTTGCCCAGACTGGTCTCAAACTCCTGGGCTCAAGTGATCCTCCTGCCAGGCCGGAACTCAGACTTTGGTCTCCACTCCTCCCGTGTCACCCATCTTCCCCAGGGAGTGACCTACCATTGGGTGTGATGTGACAGAAGGAAGAAAAATGTCTCACCAGAGATCCAGCCAGCCACAAACTCCTCCACCGGCATTGTCTGGGCTTGCAGAAACTGGTGGCTCCAGCAAAGGAGACAGAGTTGAATTTCCCCCCTCCCTCCCCTGGCCCATGCTAATAACCTCCCACTAATGTTTAACCCTGGCGGGAAGGTGAGATGTGGCCTGGTGCCTGGACCTCCAGCAACTGGCAGAGGGGAGCGAGCCAGCTCCGGTGACCCTGGCCACCTGGAGGAGTCGCGCAGAGTACAGTCTCATGGGCCAGGCGTGCCAGGACCACAGGGGCCTTGATTCCCCAGCCTGGCCAATGATCCTGGCTCTGGAGATGGCAACTGGGTCCCTGCCCCATGGTCGGGCCCCTCCAGGGCTGCCTTAGTCAGCAAGAAGCAAGCCCCTGCCTGCCCAGCCAGCCCAGCTCCACTCCCATTCATCGCCACCAAGGGGCACGGCCGCCCCCATGCCACAGAGAGAGGCCAGGTGCGGAGGGAGCATGGCCACCAGGGGGTAGGCCCAGCCCGCAGCTGCCGGCTGCGTGGCAGGGTGGGGAGGAGCCACTCCCAGGAGTGACTCACCAGGCCTGGCTGTTCTCTCCAGGGTTGTTTACGATTCCCCCGACTCCCCCGTGTGAGTCAGAAACACAGCCTT